TTTGCAGTTGATGATAATCAAACCAACTAAAAACACTGTAGTGATTCGTGTGTTTGAGAACAATTGTCAGAAACTATCTTATCAGAAGTTCTACGGTTGGCAGTAACCAGGCACTCCTCTGAAAATGTTCTTCCTGTGATGCAGAATGCTCAACCAGACGCTGCTGAGCAGGTGTCTGTTAGCTGACACAATAGAAAACTTTCCCACAAGTCCTTGCTTCTACAATTTTGGTGTTAAATTGACACAGGAAGTTGTAGTGTATGGTTTGTGCTGTGATTGTAGTATTCATACAGAAAAGGGTATAAATATGTATACATTTTGTTAATAACACATACACATCTCCTGGGTTAAAGGTGAGGGCGAGACCATGACTGTAGATCCCTGTGTGATTTCATAGGCCAGTCTCTTCCCTTTCCCATTCACTCACCCACCCCTGCAACAAGGAACCCACTATGCTTACTTCCATGGTATATATTTCTCTGCCTTTTCCTTCTGGCAGTGATTTACGTAGGTAATAGCAACACATCCTTCGATTTTTGGAGCAGCAAGAAAGAGCACACAGCTGAGAGAGTCTCGAAGGTCACTATTCTTAAACAAAAGTCAGAGAATGCTTTCAGCTTCCTCAGGAGTCTCTGTGTCTGGAGATAGAGCAGTGCAGGGATGAGTGCTGGCCTGGAGAGCTAAGAGCTCAGACTTGAGGTGGCTGATAAAGCTGCATTAGGGACTGGAGGGCATGGGCCATTGAGGTACCAGGGCTGGCCTCTCATTTGTCACATTAGAAAAGACTGAAGGACATTTCTGTGGAACGATATGAATGTCCTCAGTGAATGCAGGTGGTAGATAAGGAGGGCCATGCATGTGATGAGACCAGTCAAGTGACGTAAGAGTCACATGTCTTCCCCTGACCTGTTTATTCCACGTTTCTCTAAGCAGTGCCTTTTTCCATTGGCTTTGGCTAAGGTCCATACCCAGTTGCAGTGAGCTGTAGCCTGACATGCTTTGTGGATCTTTCTTAGGAAGACACTAAATTTTTAATGTTTTAAATTTTGCTTATTTATTTTTATATGTGTGTGTTTGTCTGTGTGTCTGTATGCTCACCAAGTGCATGTCTAGTGACTACAGGAGACAAAAGAGAGTCCTTTAGAACTGTGAGCCACCCTGTATATAAATGTAAGTTTTATTCTTCTGATATAGTTGTCATCTCTGAGGTTTACTGCCCTTGTCTGCTAACCGAAGCCTAGTCCTGGAAGCTTCTACCTCCACACAATCTATTCTAGGCCTACAATGATTTCATCCTCTGAGACTTAATGTTACCTGAATAAGCTTACCCTTTCTAGTTCTTTCTGAACTCTGTTGGCTGGTTCAACTCAGCTATTCTGGCTCAAACTCTCCAAGCTGACTGACTCAATCTGGTTTCTCTCTTGGCCTCTGACCAAATTGCTCTGCTTGGCCTCATACTAACTTTGGCAATACATTCTAATCTTCTGGCTCTTTCTCATTCTCTGCCTTGTTCAGTCTTCACCTGTGTCTAGCTTGCCCCTCCCCTCTCTCTCTCTTCCTCCTTTCCCCTCTGTACTGTTCTTTCTTATGCTGCCTCTCCTTCTTCTCTGCTCTCGTGAGAGTTGGGCATATCCTATTCTGTCAAATCTTTCTCTGATTTGTCACTTTGTCTGCCACTCAATTAGACATCTACAAACTAATGTTACCTTCATTGTTTGGGATTAAAAGTGTGTACTAAAGGCATGTCTGTATTCCAGCCAGAGGGATTAAAAAGGTGTGTGCTAAGGGTGTGTCTGTATTCCAGCCAGAGTAGCCATGTTTCTGTGTAGAGAGAATATCTTGGATATTGTATGAATGCATCACCTGTCGATTTAAAAACCAGCCTGTAGGAAAGGGTAGAATAGAAGATGGGACATCCAGGAGTCAAAAGAATGCTGGGTAGAGCTAGATGTGGACAATTCACCCAGGGAAGATATGATGACACAGATGAATGGTACCTAAGCACAAGTAACCAGCCCTGTGGTAGAATATAGATTAAAATAAATGGGTTAAATTATGATTCTAGACAGAGAAGAGTCTAGCTACATGGCCAAGGTATTTGTAGATATATTTTGAGTCTGAGTCTTATTTCTGGGAGCGTGGGGCTGAGAAGAAGTACCAGGCCCTACTTCTACATTGCTGGATTAAAATCTCTCTATACGTGTAGGTACTGAAAATTAAACCTGAGTCGTCTCAAAGAGCTGCAGGTGCTCTTAGCACTGAGCTACCTCTCCAGACAAACTGTCATCTTTTTTAATGATGGATTTTTATCTACAATGGGATGAGTGGATAAGCTTATCTGCCACTCTGTGAAGTGACAATGCATTGGTTAGGATGGTTTCTGTCTGTGAAGTCAGAATATACAAACTAACACACGTTTCTCTCTCACACAGACTTCTAGCTAGGCATCCCACGATCCATGTGCCGTGTGGACCATGCTTTCCCGCTCCCTTGCAAAAGCACCTGTGTGGCTGCTCCAGGGCCAGAAAGGAGAGCACAGGATACCTCCTATGCATGCTTCACAGGAGGTGCACTTGCGACTAACTCCTAATCTGTTCTCCAGAATCAACTCATCAAAGGAAGTTGGTGAACACAGTCTTTATCCTAAGAAGTAATGTACACAATTGATATCCAGGGCACCTGTTACAAGTAAATGAAAGAAGATGAAGATCGGGGAACAATGACAGCAGCTCATCACTAGCTGTCTCTGTGCTCTGAAGACACTCCTTCTGCCCAGGTCAATCCTGCTGACCACTAGATAGGTTTGCCTAATGCCTGTCGTGGAAGATTGAAGGGAGGTTGTACTTTCACTTGGGGACACTGCTCTAGTTCCTTTGAAGTAAGGAAAAGGTCCTTGCAATGCTCAGAATAAGATTATTTTTGCCATCGCTTTACATTTTGTTTCTTAAGGAGGAAAAGGTTTGGGCTCATAGCTTCACTGTTGCTTGGCACTGGGACAGAACAACATGGTAGCAGGAGTGTCTGGTGGAAATACTCCTCATTTCTCAATAGACAGAAAAGAGAAAAAGTGGTATTTTAAAAATTAGGTCTATGTGTGTTTGTGTGGGTATTCGCACAGGAGTGCAGTGCTCACAGAAACTAGCAGACAGTGTCAGATCCCCTGGAGCTGGAGTCAACAGTGAGCTGCCTGACATGGGGGCTCCCAACGAGCTCACGCCCTTGCAAAAGCGGTACACACCCTTCACCACTAAGCCATCTCTCTAGTCTGTAGTAGGGCTTTAAAGTAAGATTTTATTTTCCTTCTTTGAGAGTAGGTCATACTGGAGGCAAAGACAGTAAAGATGTAAGACAGGAAACCAGAGAACACTCTGAAGGCTGGTTAGGTCACCTGTGCCATGACCTCTAGCAACCTGTACAAGCACGCAAGATAGAAATGAGAAATACCAATTTCCCCTTTGAAAGTAATTTTAAGAAAAATAAAAAGTGGGATCTTGGAAATTTTGATTCTTTTCTTTCTTCCCCTGTTGCAAACTCGTGTGGGGGTGGTGTGGGGGTGGTAGAGCTTGCAGGTGGTGAGCGTAAGTGAGCTGGTTAATCTTCATATTTGGTAACCACATTTAGATTCCGAGATGGGAAGTGGAGGTGAAGAGGTCACAGTGGCCTTTTGGTTTTGAAGTTTAACTCTGTGTTTTGCCAACTGTTTACTCTAATGGATCTTCAGTTTCCTGGCGTCAGCATCCTTCTCATGTATACAGCCCTCTTTGCCCAAAGCTGCCTCTGCCTCCTCTTCTCCTCACCACCCTCTTCATAATGGCGGGCAGCTTTGATTGTCTTCTCAGATTCTGGCTATTAGAATACTCTTCTGTTGACTGGGTGGGTTTGTATGCACAGGCACAAAATTCTGCAGTATGTGATTGCCTAGCTTATGCAAGCAATGGGAACTTAAGAGAATGCCTGCTTTTCCCCTTTCCCCCTCTGGGAATCCTGAATAGTACATTCTGTTCAAGTGGAGAGAGAGAGAGAGGAGAGGGGAGGGAGGGAGAGAGGGAGGGAGGGAGAGAGGGAGGGAGGGAGGGAGGGAGGGAGGGAGGGAGAGAGAAAATATATATCCGTGTCCAGCCTTCGGTAAAATCCCAGTCTCAGAACTTTACAAGGGTTCCTCTGGCAGAAGCAGGCCCTCACCTGTGTGGTCCCTCATTAGAGGGACATGTAAGAAGTCACATGTATTTCCTGAGCCTCCACCTAGAATGTCTTTCTGCCTCTCAATTCTGAGGTGTATCTTTTTGATGGTATAGGCTATCCATGAGTACAGACACGTGCTGAGCCTCTGGACCCTTCGGGAGGAATTCTGCTGTGCAGGTGCTCATGAAACCCTGGTGTCAGCCAACGCAAGACTCAGCTCTCTGGAGTCTGCTTCTATAATGCCCTTTAAGGTTGTTCTTACATTCATGATTGTATAGATATTGAAGATTTTGAAATATGCAAATCATATGTTATCCTAAAGTTTTATGTATTTTTACAAGACAATTAACCTGGGGTTTTTCTCACAATATATTGGATAACTAACTTGAGGAAAAATAGGTTTTCAGAACCAGGATGTTAAGACACACCTATAATCCTAAGACTCAGGAGGCTGAGGCAGAAGGATTGTGAGTTCAAGTTTAGACTGTGCTACATAGCAAGTCTCCATCTTCAACAACCCCCAAATAAATCAATGAGACTTCTGGAATGATTGTTTCTGGGTGTTATGTCTTGATTTTGCTCAACAGTGAAAATAAAAACCTATTCACCCAACTACCAGACATCCATCTTCTTAAATCAGAATTCAGGGGACAGTTCCTACCCCTCACCCTGCACATCCGGTCAGTTGTTTGCAAGTTGCATGATTCTAGACCTGGGTAGGAGGTGGGAGCTATGAGGGGAGCATCACAGGCTTTCTGTCTTCACGCTGCCCTGCCTCCCAGCCAGTGAGAATTCCCCAGAGTGACAAAGCAAGAATCTGCTAGCAATAACACAAGATTTTATTATCAAGCCACTGCCTGAGAAGGGATGCAGGATGCTGAAGGTAGAGGACAGAGGAGTAAGTGTGGCTGTGAGCTGCTGTGGTGCTGGGCGGAGCCAGGCAGCGGCCATGGCCCTGGCTGTGGGGTAGGGTCTTCTTACTCCTGCCTGACTCTTCTTTCAGGCTTCAGAAGGAGGGACACCCAGAGCAAGAGGAAGGCCAGGGCTAGATCACAGCTGCACCCAGCAGTTTCTTCTCCTCTGTTTGCTAAGGAAGAAGCCAAGGTTAGATGTTGATGACAGGAGAAAAAAACGAAAACAAGGTTCTGTGCTCTAGGCCAGGTATTTCTGGAGCCAGCTAGAACCAGTCTCAGCAACACAGGACCTGTGACTAAAAGGGCCTAGGATGGATGTGACCTTCTCTGGCTTCTTCGGATAGGAACATTGGTTGGAAACAGGGACTGTACTGGATAGGACAGAAAGACATGATTCTTTCTGGGACTCGCATAATGAACTCCCTTCTTCCTTAAGCACCATGTCTCATCTGTACAGCACCACTGCTCCAAGCAGACCAACACAGGGACTCACCGCCTTTGTGAAGAATCTTTTCCAGAGGTAGACACATACTGGAGTGAGAGAAGCCAGGAGCAGCAGCACCCAGACACCCAAGAGCATTGCCTGGAGGCTTATGAGCAGGGTCTGGGAACACAGGCAAGACAAGCATGCTGGAGTGATGGCCATACTCCTGCCCCTCTCCATGCTCTCTCCTGACCGGGGTCACTTTCTAACCATCACCTCTAAGTCTACAGCTTCTGGAATGGGGAGGGTTCGTGGAGATAGAGGGTAGAACTCACCGGAAACCTTTTCCACTCTCCTCAGCAGCCTGAGCTGTGACATGAGTGATTGCTTCAGGAAGGACACACATTCACCATGTTGGTAACCCTTGCTATGTTTGCAATCCTGGGTCATTCATGGTTTGTGACTGGTAGTGTTTCTTTCCTAATAGTATGTGATTCCCACAGCAGTGGGAGCAGTTTCTGATTTGCTCACTCACTCCTGCATCTTTAGGAACAATCATCAAGGCTAAAGGGGATGGGGTGCTGCTGCTGATGGAGTGCCTTCTCTCACCATCCATCTTAGTCTCTCTGCCACTACCCGCACTTGCCCTTCTCCATGACCGCTTACCTTTAGCATGCTTGTGTAGAGTAGGCACAAGGCTATTCTATCCGCTTCTTCGGGAGCTGGAGTGCTGGGCATGGTGGACCAACGATATGAAGAGTCACCCTTACAGACATCATCTCTGAAATAGTACCGATTGTACCGGTAAATATTGAACTCACGAGACCCAAGAACGATGGCGGCCACAGCCATGCAGAAACTCGCTAGCACCAGAAGGGTCCTTATCAGGGCCTAGGTAGAGCAGAAGGTAGCAAGAGACATCAAAGATTCGGTTTTAGCCAGCCTGTGTGGGATGGGGCAGGAAGTCTGGCATATCCTTGAGGCAGTGCCTGGGTCTTGCCTGGTCCTAAACTCACCCAGCAGATACCACCCCGTTTCTTGTGAAGGAAGGCAACAGCTCCAGCCAGTATAGCCTATGGAGAGATTGAACCAAAAAGAATCAGTATAAGACAAACGTCCATCAATCCCCTGCCTCATTCCTCCTGTGCCCGCCATGTGTAGTGCCAGCCACATGGCCTATAGCATTCCCTCTGCATCCCAGATGTTCTGCTACATTCTGTTGTTTATGGAGAAGTAACTGTGTGGGACAATGAGTCTGGAGCACAGCTGTGAGGCTGTAGGGCACGGTTTTATTGACACCTAAGTGCACACGGTTAAACCAGGTGGGAACCTTCCTATCCATCCCTACAAACTTCTTTTAAAGTCACACTAAATATTCTTCACGAATATTCCAGGGACCAGGGATCTTGTGGGTCAAAGTCCCATGTTGTTGGAAAATCTGGGGACACAGAATGTGACTTTAGGCAGCCTTGAGTCCAGACACTTGTCTTAGCAGCTATTGGGTCCATCTGACTAGGATGGAAGAACAGGAAGTCTGATGCAGCTCAGTGGACAGATGGGTTCTGATCCTATTTGATTAGTCTATAAATAATCCATACTTTTCTGCCGCTGGATGGATTAGCATGGTTGCTTTAATCTCCCCTCTCAATAAATATATATGTTTTGCTATTTTGAAAGTGTGGCTCTGTCAGAATGTTCTTTGTACCCACAACTTAGCCAGCTCAATCTAATCAGCTGTCATTAAATATGATAGCACTCTTCTGACAGAATTTGTCCCTGGATCCCTATAGGATGAGCATAAGGAAGTAAGAGAGCCAGGAGACGGAGCTTCCTGTCTGACATGCTCCACATCCCCTGTCTCGACGCAGGCATTAGAGGTAGGTAAGCCCTGAGAACCTTAACTGTTGATGACTACTGATGGCAAGCAACTTCTGTCAGCTTGCTGGGAGAAGCATGGGGCAAGAGACAAGCTGACCTGGGGTTGCCCAGGCAACCATTTCATCACTTGCCATGTTCACGAGCACCAAACTGGCTGACATCATTCAGGTCTTGGTTGGCCACAAACTCTGGGACGCCACATCAATGGTGGTGGTGGAAGGGAAGCAGAGGGAACGCCATCCCTGTGCCCTCAGACAGCCTTGGACCTTCATGTTGCCACACTCACCACGATCCCAGTCCAGAAGGGGGCACCTGCGGTATGCATGGCTTCATATTGGCAGATGTAGGAGGTTCCACCCAGAACCACACTCAGAACCCCCAGCACGATCTGCACCACCTGGAAGAGAGAGGACTTGAAACACAGCTCTCCAGCAGAGAGAGGGCTACCCCTTAGCTGAAACTGTGCACACAGCTTGGACTGATATCTAATAAGAAGACAAAACCAACTCAATGTCTTAGGCATAAAGGAGGCCAGAGGAAAATATGACAATCAAGAAAAGGAAACTTTCCTTAGCCCTAGTGAAGGTCCCTCCCCTGGCTCATCAAGCATGTAGCTACTCTCACCCAGGAGGCCACCAGCACTCTGCTGCTGCCCTGGCTCTGGATGGAAGCGGATGCTGGAACCCTTAGCACTGAGCATCCGGCCAGCAGGAGTTTGGCCAGAACAGACTCCTGATGGATGTGCACGTCAATGTGGGTAGGCTGAGGGGCCTCAGGGTCCACCTCACTGACATCTGCAGTCTCCATGTCTTTGGACATCATCTGTGAAGGAGAAAAGGAACAGCAGGGAGAAATAGTTGGTAGATTTTTCAGAGGCTTCTTTGAGTTGAGGGGGGGTGACAGAGACACAGAAAGGCTGCCCCTGGCTGTAGAACTGCACCCTCATGACTTACCTCTCAACCCCACCCCTGACTGGGTCTCTTCTCCCCAGAGTTTTCTGAATCCAGATCAGGGGGCATCTGCGGTATGCATGGCTTCATATTGGCAGATGTAGGAGGTTCCACCCAGAACCACACTCAGAACCCCAAGCCCCTTAAACAGTGTCTTCTTCTAGCTGCCCGATAAGCTTCTGTTGCAATTAACTCATCCCTACCAGTGTCCCAGAGACCACCTCACCTGGAAGCCCCCGTCTCCTTAGGTGAAGAACAAGCACTGACTGACCCTGTCCCTACAGAATTGAGTGGTAGAGATGGAGGCCATACCTGTTCCTGGAGGCACACCCCAGTGTGCACACTCCCCTAGTAAGCTCTCAGGGAGCCAGACTGGAAGGATCTGGGCAGACTGGGAAACGGGCTATGCTAAGGTAGTGGTGGGCTGTCTTACCTGATTCCTCTGGGACCAGGGGAATGTGCAGCAGGGAGGCCGAAGCTCACAGAGAGGAGCTGGCAGGAGTTGAGAACTTCAGCCCTGGCAGGAGGAAGAACTTGGGTGGGAGCCAGAAGGGGAGGGAGGAGGGACAGACTTCAGCACTTCCTGGCAGGCAGCTGGGACTGAGGGCCCCTTCAGGGGCTTTCCAGCAGTCAGATCTTCACTGGGCACCGGAGAGTTGAAAAAGGTGGGTGAGGTAGGCACTGAGTTGGGGTTGGCACTGATCGATTCTGTGGAATCCTTTGATTGCACCAATGCTTTCTCTCCCAGTCCTGTCAGGGCTAGAGCTTTCTGAACAAGTGCAGTCCTGTGCCACCTTGGGTGTATGAGTGCCCCTGTGTCACCTGCATCCTTGCTACAGCAGGCTTGGTCATCTACTCTTGATGGACCCCCCTCAAGTGGAGCCCTTTCCTGTCAGCTACTTACTGGAAAACTGAGAGACTCCATGTGAGGCCTCCATCCCTCCCCTTCTTGCTCTCCTCTCTCTGGGGTCAGCTTTAAGTCAGCTCCTCCCAGACCTCTCAGTTCCAGCCCCACCCATCTCAGAGGACAGCAGGTGAGGCAGGACCCTTCACAGTCCCAGCCCACAGTAGCCCCTTTTTGGAGTATAGGGTCCCTTCTCTGGGGGAGTCTCCAAGCCTACTCCTCAAGCTTCATCTTGGCCCAGGATGCTTCTTCATTCTATCTCTGCTTTCCTGTAGGACTCTGGGGAGGGAGGGACATGTTGGACAGAGGAAGTGACTCTGGAAACAGGGCTGAGACTGGGGAGGCCAGAGTCTGGCTTTGCCTTCCATAATTACCAGTGCCTCACATCTGCATTCTGAGAGCAAGACCTTTGAGACCACGCAGAGGTGGGGCAGCTGTGGGGTGTTTCCGGGCACTGGGAGGAGGGATATCAGAGAGCCACTATCTAGAGTGGTACCAGCCGTGGTGAGAGGTTTCTTGGTGCCTAATGCTTTAGTTCCTGCTCTACAGAGGAAGCAAAGGGCTTCTGAGTAGCTAGGGCAGTGGTAGCACTGGGGGTTTGGAGGGGCCAGCACACAGATAACTGAGACTTTATTCCTAGAACCTCAAGGGAAGTCGAGAGAGATCCTGAGGCCTTCATTTTTGTTTCGGTGAAGTCCGAGTTTCTTTATCCCTCCTGAAGAGTCGTCAGACTCCGAGGTGCGCAGGTGAGTGGAAGGTTCTCTGTGGTGTGGGGAGAACAGGAAGGGATGCAGAAGGAAGTGCCTGGAGTGGTCGTCAATATCCAGTCGGAACGGATGCTTAACCAGACTGCCCAGGAGAGCCACTGCGCAGAGCTTCTTTTGGATAGAGGCAAGTCATCAGAGAGGCTAAAATGGCTGTCGTAAACCAGTAACAGGAGAGAGTTGGGAAGCTGTGTTAAGTTCTATGCTGATTAGAACGAAGGCAGTGCTGAGGAAGTAATTAGAATTCACGTAGGCAGAATATGAAGACTTCATGGGCCCGAGCCCCCATGGAAACTCAGGGAAGTGGTTTTAATCAGTGGAAGAAAGGTAGTGCATACCACAGTAGAAACTGTTTTTCAGAAATTAATACCTGGACCAGCACCATAGGTCCTTGCCTCTGTATCTACCAAATTATTACATACAGTCCCAAGATCAACATCTCTTTTTAAATTACTACATGTTTGTAATTTAAACACGCCTGCTCGTGTGGGTATGTGAATATGAGTACATAGTTCCAATTGTAATTTTCAAATATAAAAGAACTTCTATGAAAAAAGTCAGGAAGTCTGAGAAGAAGGAACTTACAAAAGAATAAACTAAAAAATGTCTTTCTAAAACAAACTGCCAGCCAGCTGCTGAAACACTGACAGAACTGAGCTGGAGAGCAAGGGAGAGGCTTTACTTGGAGAAGGTACTGGGGAATTGTTATTTTTATTTTTTAGACAGGATCTCATTTTGTATACTTGGCAGGCCCAGAACTTGCTATGTAGATCAGGCTATCCTCCAACTCTCAGAAATCTACCTGCTTCTGCCTCCAGAGTGTTGGGATTAAAGGTGTGTGCCACCACACCTGGAGGGAACTTTTTGCAGTACACACATTTCTATGCCTTGATTGTAGCTGTGTTTGGATGAAGATAGACATTTGTCAGACTTCAAGATAAGCAGTGAAACCAGACCAAGTGTTTGCATTAAATAAAAACCTACAATAGAATGTGATATCTCTTAGGTAACACTGAAGAAAGTAGAAGTTGCTGGCACACTCAGGGAGGGGGAATAGCAGGTCGATTCTTGCATTACACTCCTACATGGTCATACCACATCCACCAGGGTTCACTGACAATGGCCACTAAATATGCATTGTTCCTTCCACCCTGGTTGTGATAGAAAGGGGTTGGAAATAACCTGAGTGTCTGTCAATAGGGTACTGTTCCAATATTATCACACACACACACACACACACACACACACACACACACACACCTCCTAATCCCTGTACTTCATCTGTCTCTGTTGTTTGTCCCAGCAGGAAAGATGGACCAAACCACAGTGACTGTGAATGGAGTCAAAGTGGCTTCCACAAGCCCCCAGTCCGCTCACATCAGCATCCACATCCACCAGAATTCAGCTTTGGAGCAGCTGCTGGGAGCTATGGGCTCCCTGAAGAAGTTTCTCTCCTGTCTTCAGGCCACTGGGCCCTCCAAGGCCAGAATCCACTATGGGCAGCTGTCTCTAGGGGTGAGAGTGGAGTGGTCCTGGGTTCCTGAGGTGTCACAGAGGGTGGGGATTCCCCTCTTGGATAGGATGCTAAGCAGAGCGTGCTGAATCCTCAGGGAAGCACACAAGCTCACCGGCCCCCTTGCATTTGGGGCAAGGATTTGGAATTTTCTCTGCAGGGATTTGGATGGAAAGGCATAACCAACCTCCTCTGGCACAGAGACTGGGTGACGGGAGAAGAGTTTCAGGGCTGTGAGTTCAGGTCTTCCCTTGAGTTAGTTCATGGGAATCAAGGGCTGCAGAAGCAAAACAACACTAACTAAACCCTTCAAGGAGAGGCGAGGGGGGGACCCTGAGCCTAGAAGTGCTCAGCATGACTAGAGTTAAAAGTAGATCTGGTGACATACGCGCACGGGGCATCGTGCCTGAGGATCCGGTGTATGAGCAAGGCAAGACCCTGGGCAGAATGGGAACAGGCTTAGACAGGGAGCAACAGGATGCAGAAGGAAAGGACTTCCAAGGTAGAGGGGTCCCAGGAACAGGGTAGCCAGTGCTGTGAAAGTAAAGACTGGAGGGTCAGGGACACCTTTCTCTAAAAAGGAGTCTCTGTAGCACATCTTTTTTTTCCTCTCAAATAAGACCTTATATAGTCTATGCTGGCCTCAAATTAGCCATGTACCCAGGATGGCCTTGAACTTCTGGATTCCCTGCCTCCACTTACCCAGTGCTGGGCTTACAGGCATGGATAACCTCCTCAAGGCTTATCTGGCCCTGGGAATTGAATCCAAGGGCTCATGTATGTCTCTACATGCCCACCCCCTACCCCTCAGCACTGCATCCTGTCTACACTGCACCCTCCACATTGTGCTTGGATATGAAGAGTTAGGTAGGGGCCGGATGCTGAGGGTAGGTGCTGAATTTGACAGGACAATATTCCAGAGGGAGAAGGAGATGGGAATGATAAGAATTGACAGAAAGTGATGACATTAGGGGATGGTAATGAAGGACGGACAGACAGAGAACAACACAGACCAGTGCGACTCAATGGATGTTAGAACAGATCCTTCCAGAGTCAGAGCTGCAAGGAGGCCAAAGCAGAGGAAAAGTCCCTGGGTTGGAGTTGTGCAGTTATCCCTGGGATGTGAAGGGAGTTGATTTTTTTTCCCTCCTGTCTTGCAGGTGACCCAGATATTGCTGGGGCTTATGAGCTGTGTTCTTGGAGTGTGTCTCTACTTTGGGCCTTGGACTGAGCTGTGTGCCTCTGGCTGTGCCTTCTGGTCAGGGTCTGTGGTAAGTAAGAAACTAGCAAGAAGCTCAGTGGCAGCAAAGGGTAACAGTTGCCTTGGGGCTGGAGAAAACCTTCTGAAACACTTTATTTTATGGGCAAGGTTAGAAAGGGCGGGACACCGGTGACAAGTGTTTGTTCATATGCTGAGTTTTTCTTTGGCTTGCTTGTCTTTTGAACCCTGCTTGACTTGGGCTGTTTTAGAAGCTGCTGTTGGAAGCATGATGGGAAACCTAGCCAAAATGGTAAACTGGAGGCCATTTTTGTTTTCTGGTGTCTCTCCTTTCCAGGCAATTGTAGCTGGAGTTGGTACCGTTGTCCATGAGAAGTGGCAGGGAAAACTGTCCGTGAGTCTCAGCTTCCTCTTTCTCAACCCTGCTCATCTCTACCCTCCAAAATCGCTGTGGTCCCTGCACTTTTCTACCTTTTATCCTTTAGTTACTAATAAAATGGGTCTTTCCAGAGGAGTTAGGAGGGGCTTCCCACCACAGCAGCTGGGCAAGTTGGGCTGGTTTGAGACCGTGGTAGTTCTGTGACTCTGCCACTGATGAGCAGAAACTGCATCTGGAATCTCTCTTCTAGGGCCACACATCACGTCTGCTCCTCCTGGCTTGCGCTGCTACAGCTGTAGCTGCTACCGTTCTGGGTGTGAGGAGCTTAATCTGGCAAACCAGTGGTTTCTACTACAGCAAGATCAGTTCCACATGCGACTCCTTGCAAGTAAACATGGACAGTCCGTATGCGATATCGCGATTCCTTGAACCAGACTGGAGGACAGAGCAGTGCAGAGAGTACCTGAACATGATGATGGTGAGAATGGAACCCACACAACCCTCGCTCTCAGGGACTAGAGCCCTGGAGGGCAGGAATGAACAAGCTCTGTGTACTTGGCCTTCAGCCCAAGGTCTTTGGTTACAAAGCTGTCATTGAAGCTGGGGGCGTTTCTCAGACTTTTATACATGAAGATCCCTGAATTAAAGGTGTGGGGGGGCAGACTGTAGGCCACCCCTCTGTCCTTTCTATTGAATGGTTATTATGCTTATCTACTTACTGATGCATAAGATATGATAGATTTAAATATCGCTTTATTCATAGCTGTCACAGTTACCTGGGTTGGCTGGGTTGAGACAGTTCACACCTGGGTTTCCCTAGAGAGATAGTAGGTGTGGTCATCCAAGAGCTCACTAGGGCTGGGCGTTCACACTGAGGCACTCGAGTGGCGGGCAGATGACGTGGCTTTTGACTGGCTCAGCTGGGCTGTGATCCTGAGAACCTACAGCAGTTTCTTCATGTGCCTCTGGCTTCCCAGTATAGAAATCATGTCCCAGGAGTATGGTGGGCTTGTCAAGAGGGAGGAATTGAAGCTGCCAGGCCAGTGAAGGGCTGCCCATTGATGGCATAGGGTCATTCCCACCAGTCAAGCAAGTGGATTAGAAATGGTGTCCACCTTGTCACTAGAAGATGCCACCTGCCTTGCTGGAAAGTGTCTGGACTGAGTGTGGCTTTGGTAAGGTGGTGATATGAATCAGGGGAACCAACACTTGACTGAGTCTGTTCTTCCTTCGCCTTTAGAACTTGTTCCTAGCATT